GGCGAGATGTGCCCTGTGAAAATCGTAGTTCTGGATTTTCTGTGTGAATATGGCGCCGCCATCAACCTCGGAGAGAACAGATTAACGCTGCGGACACCTGTTACGCCTCCAGAGGAACCCAAAACAACGTCAGTCGCCGTCCCAGTCGCAGCCAACGACATGAACCCGCCGACGCAATCAAGTGTTGTTATACCCGTCATGACCGAAGCAGCTACTTGCAGCGAAGTTTTTTTGGAAATCAACGTTCAATTACTCCTGGAAATAGGAATAGTCGTCGCAAGGGGGGTAAGTGAACTTCAAAATGAACGCAGTGTGGCCCTCGTGACGAATGTCTGACAAGAAACGCAACACCTCGCGAAAGGTGCCACTATGGACCACGGCACATATTAAAGATCATCTTCGTTTTCTTGCCCTTCCTAGGCCTAAAAAGACGCGGTAACCCAACGTTATTAGAACCAACTCAGTTCTGGAACTCCGCTCCGAGGGGGGGTCCCTTTACGTGGCGCCTGTTAGAGGGCGCGCGCTCCGCATTATAACTCGCTGTCATCATCATTGACAGCGCGCTTTTCGGCCGTTGCACCTGGCCTATTGAGCTTACGGATATGCGTGGCGCTTTTTCTGACAGTAAGTAGCAGACGACTTTCAAATTGTTTCTGCTGCAGTTGGTAGTCACATATGGGAAATTCTGATACTTGTTTTAACCAATAAAACATTGAATCTGTGTTCATGTTGACTCTGAACCCCATTCCAAGTGTCGTCTGCTGTCAGCGCAAAATAATGATCGCGCGCGCGCGAACGTTCCTTCGGTCGTCTGCAACCGCTGCGACGGGAACGTCCGCGCGCATTTCACGCCTCGGAAAAACAACGCAGAGAAGCTCCAGCTAGGCAGAGAATCAGGCGTGCTGAACTTAGCTCGTCCGTCAAATCAGCGTGTCCAAGATAATAACGGAGACAGAACGAAAGCAATGCCCCCAACGCAATCGAAGCGTTCGGATACTTACGCTCGTATTGGTGTGCTGCGATCACGGCCAGCAATGGAATTGCCTTGGTAAGACGGCGCATCTACTATTACAGTATGTACAAAGTTGCCCTGATTGTAGCCACCGGATTGCGGCGCCGACGAATTTGGGTTGTTCGAAACGCTTCGCGCTGTCAGCACAGCTAAGGTGGCGGCGTTTTGAAATAATACAAAGCGTATGCCATCATGGTCGTACCGCTTATCATGCTCAGGTTGTATTTTTACAGGCGAAAAGGCGAAAACCAACCGTAAACCATGCTGGTCGCCGAGGAGTCGGGTTGGGACTCGCAAACAGTTGCAGCGGTTGGCAGCCGCGGAGCAGTAGCAGACGAAAATGCGCGGATTAATGCGCCGGCAGCGCCACCTCGCCGCAAAAGAATCGGACACGGTTTCGGACTCCCTCCAATGTAAGGCGTCTATGGAAAGTTCCACAACTGAGTTGATAGAGTAACGGTGGCGGTAACCATTGAGCTAGCAAAATATAGCTACTCCGAGGCTCCGAGTTTATTTCCTTTGTGGCACGAAGCCTGTAGCTTTAAAGCTAGTATTGCAAGGCTTCAAAGTCGCTCCAGCTCAGATATAAATACAGCAGCTGCTCGCGGAGTATGCCCACCCGCGTTCGTCTCAGTTTCGGCATAGTTGAAGGTCTAAATCTTCGGCGACATATGGTGAACGGGCCATACAAACGCTAGAAACAATGCCAGAAGGAGCGCCAAATTAGAGTGCTACCGATCGGACTGTTTTGGCTGAATACAGCCAACAATATTTATACTCATTTTACATGTATTTTGCTTGGTAGAGCCGGCTTTATATGTTTTTACCTTAATTAATTTTTGTAAACAAAAAGTGCTTGCTAGGAGCATATATTTTCTGTTTTTAATACATTTTTTTTCTGACTATTACGCTCGTTGGCCGCATTGGCGCTGCAAGCGGGAAACGTAAGCGCGCTGCGCTGCGTTGCGAAGCCTCTATCTTACCGGGTGTCTCAACTAGCAACCAGGTTCTTTGAATCGACTGCGAAATTCGGTTTCTTAAACTATCGCGCTACGACTTTGTGCATTGTTGCCCCCAGATGGTGCATTCTTCTTTTTTTTAACATTTTTAAAGAGCAAATTTACCCGATGAAAAAGTAAAAAAAAAAAAAAGAAAGAAAAAAATTTAACTTCCATGGAAACGCAGTGAAGCCACCGGCCTTCAAACAATACGGCGACGTTTCGTACAGGAGACAAGAGATGGCGCAAGCGGTCGAGACGACAACTGCCGAAACGAACGAGTATACGGCTCCGAGAGAAGCGTCATCAGCCGACAATCTTTTCGACTCAAAAGCAGCCCAAGTTTCGCAGCCGGCAACAGCCGAAATATAAAAACAGACGCCGTAACAAAAAGGAACTGCAAAGCAGACGACATCAGTACCCCGAAAAGAAAAAAACAGTCAAAATATCCCGACAAACCCTTTTTTTAATCGAATATGTGTCAACACATAGTGTTTTATTAGTAAGGATGATAAAATAATGTACTGGCAACTGTTATCAAAAAAGCACGCGCCGCTTTTGAGTCGAAAATATCGTCTGCTAATGACGCCAGCTCTCGGCGTCGTATGCTCGTTCGTTGGCGGTAGTTGGCGTCGCGACCGCTTGCGCCATCTCTTGTCTCCTGTACGAAACGTCCCCGTATTGTTTGAAGGCCGGTGGCTTCACTGCGTTTCCATAGGAGTTAAGCTTTTTTTTTCTTTTTTGTTTTTTTACTTTTTCATTGAGCAAGTTCGCTCTTTGCAAATTTTACACAAAAAAAAAGCACCACCCGTGGGCAACGCTGCACAAAATCGTAGCGCGATAGGTTAAGAAACCGAATTCGGCGGTCGATTTAAAGAGCCTGGCCGCTAATGGGACACCCGGTATCAGCCGTCGTCGCCAACCTTGTTGCATTTCGGTCCCCCAATTTCTTAAGGCTCTGTTATACTCCGACGTATCTCTTGGCGTCTCAGCGACGTGACGTCGGCGAAAACCCAACGCTCTCTACTCCGGCGTCGTGGCTATGGTCTACTATCGTGGCGTAACCGGCGCGACCGGCGGCGTCCGACGCTGCGTGACCGCCTCGACGCCAAAATGGAGCATGCCGTATTCCGCGACGGCCGCGCCAGCGATGCCGGACAAGGATGCACCACGTGCTGGCTCCCGGCAGCCCTCGCGCGGGAAGCGCGGCGAATACGAGCAATAGCAGACGCAGGCACCGTAATGACCACTCCGTGTGGCGTCATTACGGTGCCTGGAACGTGTCTCCGAATGGTGTGCTTACCGTGCCCAAAAAAGTGGTCCCTCGATTTCCGCCTGATGACGTCATAAAAGTGTCATGATTTCGCCGGTCGCGAACCTGGCGGCGTTCAAATAGCTGTTGTGAATGTGGCAGACGCCTGTTCTGCTGCATGTCGCTCTCCAACGCGGCAGTCCACGGAAGCAAAAGCAGCCGGAAGTTGGGACGCCTGGAACGCCTTGACAACAGCGACACTCACGTTCGCCTGTGGTTTTCACCAGCATTTCTACGGCCAACCGCCAGGATCGCGACATGCAAGAGCATGACTTTCCGGCTTCTGTGACGTCATTTGTTGCCACTTTGGGACCACTCTTGATGTATGGGCGGGATAGGACGCTAAACACACCAGTCGGAGACGCGCTCCAGGCACCATAGCGTCATGTTTGAAGAATCGGTGTCGGTCGTCGAGAAGCTGATCGAGGGAATTTGTTTTCACCCGTGTGTCTACAACATGAGGAAGCTTGAGCACCGGGACACGGACACGAAAGGCAATGCTTGGGAGGCCATTCGAGAGCTGTGCGGTCTCCGCACAGGTAAGATATTTCGCTGCTCCGCACATATCACGTACGTCTGTGCTGATTGCAGTGCTGTGTTCCGCTGCTGTAGCAGACGCGATCATATTTTGTAAATTGCTTAATGGGGAAGCTTTATATGAAAACGCTGAACTCACCTTTTGTGATTAACGTGGCGTTCGTGAACGGATAAAAAGAGAGCGTATACGCAACGGAGTTTCTTGGTTAGGGATAATTCGTCGTGGTAGTTGAGGGCTGGGTGAGCGCGGGCAGAGACTTTGCGCTATCCACTTGTGCTTGTATAGATTGTAAACAAAATGTAATGCCCCAAAGAAAACGTGTAGAGATGAAGGAAAGCGTGCGCGTAAGCGGCGGCTGGCGAACGACGAGTGGGCCCGACTTGTACGTACACCGACAGTGCAAGCGCGAGTTTTCGTCGTGCAAGATACGTCCACGCCATCGCTCGAGCTTGGCGCTCAAGAAGCGCGAGAATTCTCGTCTGCTGTTCGAAACATAGAGGTTCGAAACCAAACGGAGCCGGAACCGGCGCACTCATGAAGCTTTCGTTTGTCTTATTGAAGGAGAGCTCTAATCCGGGGTTTCTCGACTTTGCCCGATTTTTATTTTTATTTTTGGGCAAATGTTTTTATGTTTATTTGTATTTTCTGAAAACACAGAACCCTTGTTTTAATGCGCATCACATTCCGGCAGTTCCGGCAGTATAATAATGAGATAATTGTGGTAGGTTTACCAAAGCTTGTTTCTTTTTTACGTCTAACGCGCTCCAGACTTTGAAGAAACAGAGAAATATCTAGCATATTGCTTTATTCGGAAATGCTTTTAGTCCAGCGGATTGTGAGGTTACGTGTCCCGCACCATACTCAAGTTCCGCGTTCCGCGCGGAATATAGTCCTATTTTTCTACGACTTGTTTTCAAGTAAAGATTATTATTATTATTATTATTATTATTATTACTATCACTGCCATCAAATCATCGCTATTATTATTATTACTATCATATTACTATCAAATTGAAATCTGCAATGAAATAATTAGTGATTATTATTTATTATAAAAAATATTATTTACAAGCAGCCTCTTTGGTGAGGATGTCTCTTTTGGAGCGAAAAGTGCGTACGCCCTCAGCCCAATCTACTCACCTCGGCCATACAGATGCAGCTTGTTCGCAGTAGCCTCGCTCAGGAAAGGCCGAACCAACCTCCAGAACATGGGGAAGATCCGGGGAGCTGCGTTGAAGTGCAAAGAACTCTTTTACTGGGTGTCTTTGTCATTCGCCCTTTCGCGCCGTTAACCTTGTGCTTGTGGCACGAGTGGCACCTTCAGCGCACCTTTACTGTTCTTACGTGCTTCAAGTTCTTCTATCATTGATTGACTTTTGACAACGCTCAGCAAATTGTTTCAGGTTATTTTTCGCTAATGTTTTATTTATATACCTCAAGGCGCCTTCTGGGATGCCTTGCATGAGGGGGTGGGGAAAAGAACATGATACAGCAAAAATAAACATATAAACGTAATATCACGCGTTATAAGCGCCGAAGAAACACGGACCAAGATTTGAATAACAGACACGCGGGGAGTTATTAACTCGACATTGGAAACAAATAACAATAAAAAAGGCTGCAAAGTGATTCCCAGGTCATTCAAAATGTATAAGCTCTCACAGTTTCCTAAACGCCTCAATATCTATGTTGGCTAACTTCAAATTGGGTAGGTTATTCCATTTCGGAATACTGAGTAATAGAAGAAAAAAGGCAGTTTAACAATATGTATTTCTGAAGTACTGTCGTGAATTTTATTAAATAATTACAGGCGGTTAATATTTCCCCTGGAAGCTAATAAAGTGAGACCAGTATTAGCTTTTAAGACGGAGACACTCCTCACAAGCAAAAATCGTTTAGAATGTTTCGGGTTGATTTAATTTGCACGTATTCTAAATTATAAATTGGATCATCTTGATGTGGATGCCATATATAATGCTTACTTATTCTAGTTTAGGTCGAAATATTGTTTTGTACGCGAATAATTTTGTTGCATTTGGGAGTGGATAGATGTCGGTTCCGCCTTAGGAATTGACTTAATATTTTTTGTGGGCAATTCTAATGAGGATTTCGATATGATGATTTCACGATATTTCTGAAATATGAGCACCCAGGAACTTGTATATTGCAATATATTTTAGTTGATGATAGAAAAATGAATAATATAGAACAATGAAAAATGTAAACTCGAACAAGATTTGTTCGAGTTTACAATGACTACAATTTGTTTGCATTCTCTGGGGTTGATATTCTTCTGCCAATGTGAGCACTAGGCCTATAACCTTTTATAGGAGGTTATGGCGTCAAGGCCGTTTTGAAAAATATGACAGTCCATTGGGTTAGCAATTTCCCCATAAACACCACAGTCGTCCGCAAATAGCCTTATAGTTGAGTTAATTGAGGAGGGAAAATCGTTCATTTAGATGTGAAAAAAGGGGGCCCAAGAACACTGCAATGAGTAACTACTAAAAGTTTCAAGAGTAGTTGGTGGTGGGGAACGTTATCAAATGTTTTGGCGAAATCTATCAAAATAACGTCAGCTTGAACTGAGAAATGATTGGTAAACAAAAGGTTTGTGATAAACTCAAATAATTGGGTGGTAAATAAGTGATGTCTTCGAACCCCATGCTGCTTGGGAAAAAAATGCCACATCGGTACAGGCAGGAAATGACATTTGTATGAATAACATCTTCCATGAGCTTGCAGGAACTGTTGTTAACAATATGGGCCGATTGTTATTGGATTGGTTATTGAGAACGAGCCTGTTGGTTAATAGATACAAAACTTGAAAGTATAAAACAGAGAGGACGAGGACGGTTTAGATGTCCTGTTCCCGTCCTCGTCCTCTCTGTTTTACACTTTCAAGTTTTGTATTGGATTGGCTTTCACCAGATTTTAAAATGGGCTTCACTTCCGAGAGGCCCCAGGCAAATGGTATTTCACCAGAATCAAGTCTATGCTGGAAACAAGTGCTAAGTTTATATGTGCTGGATACATTATCAAATCAATATTTTTTTGGCGGGATGCCATAATTTCTAGGGCACTCTTTGACGGCAAGTGTGAGACTATTTTAGAATGTCTTCGGGACGAAACGAATTCCAAGGACACGTGGGCACTTCATATGAGTTGTGAATGCGAACGCATGAATGGTTTTCTTACAACTCGATTAATTCGTCTGTGGTGTACTGGCGTGTACGGCCACGTTCAGCTACTGCCGACGTTTCGGTCGCCGACGGCTTAGGTGCTTCAGGCGCCGCCATGTTCGTCGGCGCCGAGCGGAGCAGAAATGGCCGCAGTTCCGGCTACGCGTGACATGAGAGCGCCGGCCGAGCGCGAGCCACGGAGCACTCTTGAAACGGGGCCAATCGATTCGCTGCTACAGACTGCAGGCTTCGCTCCATTGGACAGAGGAATTTAGGTGCCGTTTGGTGCGGCTTCAAAAGCTAATACGCCGGTTCGCTCCATGGTGCAGTATATAAAAAAAAAAGAGGCATAGATATTTTGTAATAAGATGTACGGTGTGATAAGAGTGGGAACGTTTAGTCAGTAAAGACGCTGGCAACGAACGAATTCAGCAAAGTGGCAGCCTTCTCATCACTAAGGGTTTCGTCTTGTTTATTTACAAAAGTAGGGGTATTTTTGAATTATTTTGGATTAATTACGTTCCAGACGCTTTGAATATTGTAACTGCCTTTTGCGTTTATACGCCACATTTGCACAGTTTTACAAAACAGTGATTTGCTGAGGTAACCGTTCTTTTCGCGTTTGCAAATAATCTTTTCTTTTTATTTAGCATTCGTTTTATGTTGTTAGTGAACCAAGGAAATACACGATCACAAATTCGTTACATGTAACACTAACATATTTCCAGGTGTCGGAACACTCGTCAGCTCTCTAACCCCCCCCCCCCCCCCCCCCCATAGAAATAGATTTCAGTGCCTTAGTGTTCATTTATGTTATGTGGATTGTTATTTTATATATAAATATGCAAACTCCTTGTGTAATAGGTGGCATTCACTTGACGTCACTCAGTAGGTGAGCTCGCATCGGCCGCCAGGGTCGCCATCTTCGAGGTCTCTTTTTATATCACGTAGGTGTCAGGTGTCGTCTAACCGGAACTTTCAGCGTGGTTTAGCAGAGTTTTACAACTTGACTAAGGGTCTTCTTGGGCGAGACTAGGGGTTCTTTCTATACATTGGTGCTTTTAAAGCGCCGTAGGAATTTTTTTTGTGTTTGTTCTAATTCCTTTTCGTTTGTCACTATTGTACTTGTCCACCGCGGCCACGTTGTTCCATTAGCTCCATGCAGCGCTCCATGTCGCGCGTCGTGCCCACGGCAGTAGCTCTTTTGCAAGAACTGTGACTTTTCTACTTTGGTGCTTTTGTAGCAACGTGTGACTACTCTTTGTTTTGTTTTGCTAGCTTTTCGTTGTTGTTTTTTTTTTTTTAGCGGATTTTCTTCAGTACGGCCGTGTAGCTTCATCGCCTCCGTGTCGTTAAGTCGTGCCTTCGGTGTTCGTTCCTCTGCAGAAACATACCGTGCGGCTCACCGAGTGCGCAGCTAATGGAAAATGCGCCGCATTTTTCATTACCGGTTACAGCAACTGCGGCCGTTGTAACCGGAGCGACCGGAACAACCGATGTGCACCGCGCGTACACACTCCTCTAACCTCTGCAACAAGCGCAGCAGGTCGTCAGCACGAGGGCCGCTTTTCCGATGCCGTCAGCTGTCTCCGTGGTGCCTCTTCGAAGTTATAAAGCTGTCGTCCGCTCACACTGGTTAGTCACCACTTTTGGAGTGAGGAAACAGTCCACTTTCGCAAAGTTTCCGTCAATTGGCTTTTTTCGCGTGTGGTAAGAGCACCATACAACCACGCAGTTCACTATCGCCGAAACGATTTAAGTATAAAACGCATGGAAGCGATTTGGCGAGGGACGAGACGAGAGACGGCGACGCGCTTCGCTGTCCATCGGTTATTCGCGCGACGAGGCAAACCGCATGAAAGCGACGGGAGCAAGTGACCAAGGCCAAGAGCGACGATTTCTAGAAATCTAAAAACCGAGCGACGCGACGAGATACCGTGAGAAATCTCCGTCGCTTATTTGCCTCATCGCGCGAGTGATAAGAGCCACAGCGAAGCGAAGTGGGTCGTCGTCGCTTGTCTCATCGCTCGCACGCTGGCTCGTCACTAGTCTCGTCGCTCGGTAAATCGCTTACATGCGGTTCAGCCTTTACGCACAGTACCCGGCGGCAACAAGGAAATTAAAACGGCCCACCCCCGAGATAAACTTTTTTTTTTTCTGTTCAACGGATTTGCTTTAACGATATGATATTAACCAAGCTGCCCAAGCCAGTCAAACCGCGACCTCGAAGGTGGCGGATTGACGGTGGCGCTCCACGGCAAAATCGAACCTACAGGCTCAGTGAATACCACCTACACCATTTTGGGCCTTCAAGGAAGCTAAATGATAATGGTGGTTACCAGAAAGTAAAGATTTAGGAAAAATGTTTCGAATAATTTCATAAATCTATAATTAGTAACGAGCCAGGTTTCACTTGGAGGCCACTCGTTATCAGACCAATGGTCTTTGCAATTCGCTACTGCCGTCATCAAGCATTTTACATTGGTACGCAAAAAACTAATCGTTTTTTTTTTCGGAATATGTGAAGGTCGTTTTATTTTCTGTGATGTTTTGACATTGATTATCGCGTGGCCACTCATATTTTTTTTTATAATATTGACAGATATCACGTATTCGGGAACAGTGGGAAGAAATGAACCCTGGTCAAAAGCTTACTGGACAAAAGCTCACCGGACAGAAGCTCATCGGACAAAAACTCACTGGACTAAAGCTCACCAGGAGAAAATTTAATATGTGTCTTAACACGTGTGCGGGCAACTTAGGTTCATGCGTGAAACACTAAAATGCAACGATAAATTTAATCTGACAGACACATGGTTTGTTGCTTAGAGTAGGAACAAGTTTATTTATCGGTTGGTTAAAAGCGAACGCAGTCTCCCACTAGCTCCAGCAGTCTTTGTAGAACTGGGTGTACCTAGAACCCCTCGAAAATATTTTTCAGACGTTTCTAAAGGCGCAAAGGAGTTTTTCGCACACGCTTCTCTGGGGTTTCACCTCTACGGGCTTGTATCGATGCCGTGGCAACGAACGCCTAATTTTCCTGTGGGAATTCAATCAGGATCCAGACGCTTGGGTGGGCGTGGCCGACAAATTTCTGGAACCGCGTATTCCATCCTTCGCAGGTGTATGTCCGGTCTCTATCTTGAAGATTGGCGTCGTACACATTCCACCGTCCCCGGGGAAACTCCGGTCGTCGTCACCCCACAGTCAGGCAAAGGGAAGAATTCGCTCTGGGTGCCGCCGCAGAAGGAGCAGAAGCATAACGGAAGGGGCCGTTGACATACGTGCAATCAAAGTAGTCCAGCAAGTCCCCGATGCCACAGGTAGACTTTTCCCTGATGTAGGTTAGTCCCTCGGGCACCAGCTGTGGTGGAAGTAACGCGAGCCTATCCAAAATTCCACACAGCTTTCTAAATTGGTAATCTGTCCAAAGGGCCACACTCTCGTTTCTTAAAAATATTTTTAAAAAATATTCAGTGAAACAAACCTTGTATCATTTTTGGAACACACTCTACGTAAAGTCCCGTCCCGTGAGCAAGTTGATATTATTTATTTTGATGGCTCTAAAGCTTTTGATTTCGTAGATTATAAGTTATAACTCGTCAAATGTTCAGCGTTGGGCATGACTAGCTCGTTTTGCAGTTGGTTGTTTAGTTATATTGGTGGAAGACCTAACAAAGTGCTCTATGAAGGGTGTTTTTCTGCCTCTAATGTTTTAAATACTGGAGTGCCTCAAAGATTCAACCTGGGGCCGTTGTAATCAAACATTTTTGTAAATAATTTGGTAGAAAGTGTGCAGCATTCAAAGGTGCTGCAGTTTGCAGACGATGTTAAGATTTATCGCGAAATTAATTCAACTACTGACTGTATAAAGATGCAAGACGATGTTCAGGCATTTCTAAACTGGTGCTTAAAAATAAGTTAGTACTTCACCCCAGTAAGTCCAAGGTTGTTTCCTTTACCCGTAAGACCAGCTGCGTAGAGTATCCGTATACCATGTTAGGTTCAGCTATCGCGAGGTCCGATACTATTCGTGACCTGGGAGTGCTGTTTGATTCCCGCCTTTCGTTTACTGAGCATGTTTCGAAATTTGGGAATGATTCTTATCAGGTGATAGGCGTTATTTCCCGAATGACGCGGAATTTTCGTACTTACGCTAGCATGACTCACCTATTTCGCGCCCTTGTTTTGTCTAAACTTGAGTTCTGCTCAGTCATATGGAACACCATTGGATCGACTCAATCATGTATATTAGAAAAAGTGCAGCGTCGTCTCGTGCGTATTGTTTACGATCGATGGATTGGGAGGCGCATTTACTTTGAATATGAATACTTACTTAATATTCTTGACCTGGTACCCTTGCATAAAAGAAGATTAGCTCGAAACGTGACTTTTTTGCATAAGATAGTAAACGCTACAATTGATGCACCTTTACTTTTAAGTGCGATTTCTTTCAGTGTTCCCCAAAAGCGGACCAGATTTTCATTTCTTTTCCACCCCTAGGACGTTTGTGTCCAGTCCCCGATGACACGCCTTCAGCTCCTTTATAATTGCGATAGGAGGGATCTAGAATTGTTTTCACCCCATTTTAATTTTAGAAGAGCATTGTTGTCCGCTTGACAAACATCTGTGCTCTGTCCTCCATTTGTTCTCCGTAGTTTTATTTATTTCCTTTTAGCTTTTCTAAATCACGTCTTGCTTGTTTGTTGGTCTGTATCTGTTCTTTTATTGTTTGTAATATGTGCGCACTAATAAGGCCTCGAGCTGTTCGTGGGCACATTAAGCAGAATAAATAAATAAATAAAACTTCGCAACATACTGGTTTGTATATTACAGTTTTGCTTCAGTTTCCTTTTCACAAAACCTTGAGATAATCCTTGATTTCAAATACATTTACGAAGCTCAATGTTGTAATGAATTTAATCTTCCTAGTCATTAACTTCAAGTATTAGCCTGAACCCCAATAAAACCCATACATTAGTAACGAAGAGACATTGTGCCTAACCTTTATGTACGTGTTTAGCGTGACATAAGCACAATGAAAAAACGAGGTCGACAAAGGGTGACTTCACTTTTTCGATCACTCTTCGGGTTCAAAAACTTCGGTTTACGAAGTTTCTTAAGCGAGGCACAACGGTGCTTCGGCATACCACTAGTCAAGCAAGCTTGATCTTACCAGCTCCACTCAGTTTCAGTGACCTAAATTTTGGTCCCAAATCGTTGCTTTCTTTGCCTGTTGTGGCTTATCTGTATACACCTTTGCATAGAATGGGATGCCAGTCCTCCTAAATATGGTGCAATGTCCATCGCGTCCGCACTTTATTTCAGCCCGTGTTTTGCCCGGGGTAGCCGAAAAAAATAATGAGGTGAGCTTTTGTCCGGGTCTGTCAAAAAACGGGTGAGCTTTTGTCCGGTGAGCTTCTCTTCGGTGAGCTTTTGTCCGGTGAGCTTTTGTCCGGTTACCGGAAGGAATAAGCCTAGTAGAGCGTCGTTTCGTGTTGCGGCAGGACCATCTCTTGAAGGCCATACTCACTAAATATTGAAAGAAACTCCGTGCACTGCCGAGGGTTTGCGGACTCGGGTACGGGTATAAACGTTGACCACCTCATTTCAGATTGTTGAAGTCGCCAGCAAAAAGCAGTGATGATTTGGTTCTTTTTTACAGGTCCAAGTGCATGTTACAATGAAGTATTAAACTCTGTGCGACTAACAGAGGGCAGATGATAACATACACCTGTAAGTACACGGCGAACATTCAGTTGAATTCGAATATCTTACATGTTAGGAAGAGAAGAAAATTCTACTTGGAAACATGACATGTACTTCTTAACAGCAATAATCATCCCACCGCCCTAGCGAGTTTTCTATCTGTACGGAAAATATTATGTGATCTGTTTATCATTTGTTCATTACCTTCAATACCTGGAATTAACCAGGTTTCTCCACCAATAATTATGTCAGACTCGCTAGATGAAGTAATATCTTCCAAGTTTCGCTTGTTTAGATAAGATACGTCTAAAGTTCAGGACATCAAAATAAATATTAAAAACAGCAGGGATATTCGAGGTGTTGCAGTTTACAGTCAGTAAGTTATTTGGTCTAATGTCTTGTTGGCGCGTGCGAAGCGAAACAGCAGAATCACTGGCCAAGTCTGTGTACCAGTTATTTGGTCTAATGCCTTCTTGGCGCGTGCGAAGCGAAACAGCAGAATCACTGGCCAAGTCCGTGTACCAGTTATTTGGTCTAATGTCTTCTTGGCGCAGTACCTCCCGCTTTCACTTAACTGTCGGGCGAAATTCCACAACATTTGCCACGCGAAGCGCACCTCACGAACATCCTCCGAAATCTGACACTTGAGAGAATTTTTTAACTTAAAACTATTGGGAATTGCGTAGGGATTTCACAAAAATCGGCCGAATCGATCCTGGTCGCTTTCGACCCAAACGATGAGTTCTTTCAATTTCGTCCTACTCCATTACAAGAATGTCCTGTTTTAAAAGGTTAGTTCACAAACTTTAGTTAATTATTTAACTTCAAATGACGATAAGCCCCCTACATTATGTCCGCCTGGCCGTATAACTAACCTGCACAAACTGCGTAAGTCCGTCTTCAAATAGGGACTTCTTGTCGTTGCTCCGAGTATAATGACCATGACCGCGGGGGGTATCGACCTTAAGGATACGAACGAATCTAATCACTGTGGCACTCGTTGGTTGAAAGGGTGGCCGGGAGCCATGTGATCCCGTCCTGTACTTATCATCCGCCACGGGAAATTATCGTTGATTCTGGGAACTCTCGAGCGTCAGATGTGCGACAAGGGTCTAAGCCACAAGTAGCAGAAAACTAGACAGCGAGACTATGCAAAAACTCGCAAATACACGCAGTTGTACTGTGTCGATTTTTTGGCACATCGACACAGAATCCTCCGTTTTCTGCCTAAGATAAAGTGCATACTAAAAACTAGGGGTGAACGAGTAGTGCCGCTTCATTCCTAGCTTCAACACCACAAAAAGTCGACGTGTCCTGGGTGAACCACACAGTGCTATTCAATTCGAAGCACTATAGGCACACACTAAAACAAAGCCTGGGCTAGTCAATTTAGAAATAATAGAGTTGTTAACTTTTTATTAACTTGTTGGGTATAGATACATTAACAGCTTGCCATAACCATGCAGATATTTGTCAAGTCTAAATTCGTTATTGAAGTTTAGTCAACTAAAAATGATTGAATCATTAAAATTAATTCACCAAACCAGCTCCTGGTAACTCTGCAAAAAGTTTCGTGACAAGATACATGTTCTCTGGCGGGTTTTCTTTAAAATATGCCACCAAAACGTCCCGACGTATCGGTAGTTCACTCCTGAGTCTAGAACCGCCCTTATTTCACTATTTCTGTATTCTATTAAGTCGCGGGAGGGTCACCACCATGACTTACTGACTTATAATTTGTTGCTTAAAAAGTCTCACCGTTGACGACGAAAGCTTTCTTAAGCCGCTCTGGGTAGTGTGCTTCGAACGTGGACATGAGGTCGGTGAGAAAGTCCAGTACTGAAACAGACAAAGACAAAAGACACCCTGAGCATACTGCGGAAAAAACGACAACACTCCAACCCCTGGGACAGTAACCCTTGTTAACAAAGATTTCACATTTCTTAATAATCTACATTTTAGCAATACCAATTGTGAAGTTGCACCACTTCAAAAAAATATTATTTACTTAATTTGCATAACCTATTAATGGTGTTGCGTTAAATTCGTTGCGATAAAACAAGCCTCTAAAGATAAACAGAAGGTTCAGGCGCAAACGAGCCAGTGATGGTGGAACATTATTCAATAAAATCCGAGACAGGGACCACAAGGGTCAGTCAAACAAGCACGAAGTCTCAAGCACAGCTGAATGTTATTTGCCAAACGATTCTCCTTATATAGGCTTCAAGCTCCTCAAAAAATAGAAGTGACAGAGAGAAAGAAAAGCGGAATACGAAACACTCTTTCCACAATAAACAGAGAGGCAGTGACCACCGTACGGAAACGGGCGGCGGAGAAAAGCTCACCGGAGAAAAGCTCACCGGAGAAAAGCTCACCGCAAAACCGGCAGATGCGGAGAAAAGCTGATCGGCCTTTGAGCGGATGCGGAAAAAAGCTCAGATTTTTTTTAACTTAGCGGATTCTGCGTCAAACGTGGCAATTTATCACAATTCGCATTCGTCACTTCATTAAAAATATGTCATCTCTTTTGTAATAATCTTTAGGTTCATTGGGCATATTTACTAATTCCTCAGAAATTGGTAATCACCCTATCTGTATATTAATGAAGCCGCAAGTATAAAATCGGAACATCGTACACAAGTGAAAAAAGACAACAAATTATTGACATCTGAGGGTGCGCCGTCGGTAGCGTTGTCAAATAAAGAGGTTTGTTCTTTGTGAGCTAATATGAATAGCGGTGTGTGAACCGTTTCAGCTCCAAATATTGTGCAGTGCCGAATAGATAAGTAGGTATTTGTGGATGTAATCAGTGTCGGCTACGCTGTTTTCTTTATATTAATTTCACTAACAAAACTTTAGTTGCGAGAACAGCTTCGTCCTGCCACTTTTGTCTTCAATTGGTCGTCGTCGTTTGAGCTCGGTTTCTATCATGCATAACGTTTACACACTCGCCCTATTCACTACCTTACAGAAGACTAGTTCTTATATAGGTCACGAGTAACAACGGTGACAAAGTGCAGCTCTGAACGTCATGGGTGGCTCGCCGTAAAAGGCACACAAAGGCAACGTGTGGAAACACCAGCAGAAACGGCTGGAAAACGTGCTTGTCCGAGGAAGAAAGAAGCCTCAATTTCCTACTGACCGTTTTATCCTGCTTTCAAAGTTTATCAAAAGCTTCAAAGAGATTTTCAGGTACCGCGTTGTTGCGCATGCACTTTCGAATTTTCGGCATTTACAGTTTTGATTTTTAGGTTTTAGGCGGACATTATTAAGTTTTCGATCTTTTTCCTGTCCTTCAAGCTCATGAAGTTTTCAGTTAGGCTTTTGTTGCCTAGAGAGTAGGCCATAGATAACACTCGCCCGCAATAATTAATTCGGGAGCAATGTACCCTATAAGCTTAAGAAATATTACAAAAAAGGACATTTTCTTTTTTACAAAGCTGACGAAGAATTTTAATGATAATAAATTTATATATGTTACGCATGATCCAACGACCTCCATATAAACAAAAAATTGGTGAGCTTTTTCAGCATACGCTTAATGGCAGGTGAGCTTCCCTCCGCATCCGGCGATTTTGCGGTGAGCTTTTTTCCGGTGAGCTTATCTCCGGTGAGCTTTTCCCCTGTGAGCTTTTCTCCGGTGCGCTTTTCTCCGGGATTCTACGGAAACAAAGCAACACAGAAACCTTTCCATAAAAAAAAAACCGAGACGCAGTGACCTTCGCAAACTTTTTTTTTTTTCACACAAAGTTTTAAAGGTAGGGCAGAGTTAAAGAAACAGAAAACAATCTCAAATTTTTATCAAGAAACACTCAAACACGCACAGCATTTTGCTGACAGCACGAACTAGATAAAAAGAAGTAAAAAGAAATACAATAAAACCAAAAAAAGAACTGACCTTAAAAAAAATTGAACCCAGAAAATAGCAACCATGCCATACGTAGGGAGAAGTTTGACCGAACACCGAAGGATCAAATTTGAAGGAATCTTCTCAGTTTTGTGTCTAAAGTGAGAGACCCCTCTTTACAGGATTCCCACAAGTTCAACTAGAATCCTCTTTCAAACGTTATTGACAAACTTTTTTTCTGTGGGGACTATTGAGGTTGATTGCAAGAAAGGCAGATACTTATTACTCTCAATTACATGCTTTGATACTTCCGAGTACGGAACTTTGTTTTCGACGCGTCATTCGCTCCTTTTTTTATGCTCTTTTAGTTTTCTCCTTCTTATCTAGATTGCACTGTCAGCAAAACACTATGAGTACTTCAGTGATTCCAGATCAAAACTTGAGACGTGTGTCCTGTTTTTTTTTTTGTTTTACGTTGGTAACTGCTTTTGTGAAATTTAGTGTAAAAAAAGTTCGTGAAAAGTGGTGTTCAGTGGAGGTCAGTGCTTCTCGCTTCTTTTGAGGAAAGGTTGTTTTGTTGCTTTGTTTCAAAACGGTGGTCACTGCCTTTCTGTTTAGTGTGGAAAGAGTGTTTCTTATCTCTCTTCATCTTTCATTTTCTTTCTTTTTTTTAATTTTCATTTCCATTTTTGTGAATCTTGAAGCCTATATAATCAAAATCGTTTGTCAAATGAACCTCATCTGTGCTGGAGACTGTTCGTCCTTTCTCGTCCCAGTCAGGTTGTTTTAGTAAATAATGTTCCTTTAAAGATATTTAAACGTTTATTGACCTGCACCAAAAACACACACAAATGAACCATTAATGTTATTCTCTAAATGTAGCTTGAAATGTTGCTGTTAAGGCGAGACAACGTGGAGCAAATATGCTGGGAGTGGGCTACGAAGTTTTATACAATTATTGAATCAATACTTTATTTCTCAACATAATTTGATGCAGGCTGCAGGGTTAAAATGTAAAAAAAAAGATTTGAATACACAATTGGCGCGGCTCCACGTTAAAGGGGCACTCAAGTAGATTTTCAGATCGTGTATTTATGGTAATAAAGCAATTTACGGGTTCTAAGCGCACTAAAATAACAAAATTACAACCATGGGTGGTCGATATCTCTATTAAAATATATTCAAAGATTGTGACAAGCACCTCTTGTGCGCCTTGGAGCAGGCACCATCGGGCGCCGTCAAGAGACGTATTCAAACAAGAATTACTCTATACACCTTTTACACCCAGATATTTTAAGTTTTCTTTTTTTTTATAGTATAGTGCACAAGGCGCCTAACAAAAGTAATATTAGATACATTGGAATTCTCTACGCAATTGCCTATTTTAATCGGTAAAAGTTTAAGGACGTAGGCTGGACCCGAAGATTCCCCCCCCCCCCCCCCCCCTTTCAAAGGGAAAATAGTGCCCGTGGATGTCTATTGCTGTGAGGTTTGCTTGGACGTCTCTCGCCATTTAGATCTGGTCATTTTTAATGACTAAAGTCCAAGAAACATTATGCTATTAAAAACAGGCTTCTGCAAAAAGTAGCCGAGTGCCCCTTTCACTTTGCGGGCGCAGTTCACTGTCAGAGCTCTGACGCCGCGCCCCGAGCAACGAACGCTGCGTGGAGAAATTCCACGCCTGTCTGAAGTGTATCTGCTCCATGGAAACCACGGCTTGTGTTCGGGATGCAAACTCGAATATTACGTTCCTTCGCATAGGTAGGCTGAAAGCTACTTGTTTAGTGAAATAATTCAGCTAAGCCGGTGGCAAGATAATCTATGACAGAGAGTATACAGCGTGAAACCCTTCCCCTTTGCAACAGAGCTTTTTCAAAACTCCACCGAGCCAGATTTGTGGACACCGTTACTTGGACACGAAGTGTTTACTTGGATCCGAGTCCTCGGCGAACGCCGACGCAGCCCTCATGTCCAATACGTGTTCAGAGTGCGTGTCTAGAAAATGGCGGATACGGATAACTGGCCTCGCAGTTACTGGATAGCGGTGGTTTTTAAAAAAAGCGTATATTAGCGCTTGTTCGTATTTAGTACGAGCGGGATCATGGCCACCGGCGATGTTGAGGTAAAAAAAACTGACAACCCTCAAATTGCATTTTTCACTCAAGATTCGAAAAAAAGAAAGCATAAGAAGAAAAACATAATCATGAGCCCCTGTTAACATTTTGACAATTCCTATGGCCATGTCTGATCTTCCAACGATTGCTGAACAAGATGCAAGATGCAAACTGACTTGCCCGCTTAGTAAAAAAACAATTGATAACTAATCTTCTAGCGAATTAAACATAGTTGACATAGCGTCGAATTTCTATTAAACATCAATTTTCAAACTTTTTTATGTTATCTATTTTAGAATACGTGTTATAGCTATTGCGTGAGTGTTTAGAAACACAACCAATGTAAAATATTCAAGAAATTATTTATATGTAGCATTGTGCCATATCGCACCAACTATTTCGATAAAACAATGGATTCACTTTGTTCTTTGTCACTCTCTCCCCCCCCCCCCAAAAAAAAAAATTAATGTGACACGGTTTAGGCATTTATTTGTTTTGTTTTTTAATCTAATGATACATTTTAAACTATTAGGCTGGTGCAAGGTGCCGAAGATATAGATTTTAATACTGATCCTAAGGAGGTCCTAATACTGATCCGAAGAAGTCAGGTTCCTAGGAAATTTTATGCGCATGGCAAAAAACGAATTCACGCCATATGAGCGTGTCCGTAGCAGAACCACGTGCTCGTAGCAAAGTCTGTCCTCTACTCGGTTTCGCCTGAAGTCCGAACGCAATCAACGCTTCAACTAAACGGGCAACTCAAACTGCGCAAACCACGAAATTTTAAGCGGACCATGGTTTTTTTTTTTTATTTGTTCTGCGTTAATGCACGATGATCCCAACGAGCGTGGATAATCCCCTGTGACATCACTCTTTTA